AGAAAAAATAGAACACTTAGAAGCTATTATCAAGAAAGGGCAATGTTCATGTTTTATTTTGAAGTGTAGTTACTTTGCTCATTTTGAAGTTTCAATACTGGATAATTCAGTGTGCACTCACTATATGAACAAAGAAAAAAAGCAAATCAAGTCAGATTAGCCACTTCACTATACTAGTAGGTCCAGGCCTATAACATGGGAAATTGAGCAGACTACTAAGCTGCAGAAGCAACATTTTCATTTCAAGCAAGCTCACTGGCACCTGGGAAAGTTTCACAAAGTGCTACTCTGTGAAACTCTACCAAATACCTAGAACTGTTTTTTTTTTCTTAAGATAAAACAGAAGGTACTGGGGCTGGGAAGGTGGCTCAGTGGTAGAGCGCTTGCCTTGCATGCCAGAAGCCCTGGGTTCGATTCCTCAGCACCACATAAGCAAAAAAGAAAAAAAGCCGGAAGTGGTGCTGGGGCTCAAGTGGTAGAGCGCTAGCCTTGAGCTGAAGAGCTGAGGGACAGCGCCCAGGCCCAGAGTTCAGGCCCACGACCGGACCCAAAAAAAAAAAAAAACAGAAGGTACTAATTAAGAAATCCTCCAACATATACAGTATAACCAAAATTTATTTAAATCTCCAAAGGTCACTTCTTCATAGTCACTTGAGGTAAAAAAGAAAAAAGTTATCCGAAATAGGAAAATTACTTAGTTCATGTTCTCACTACTTTTCTGGTTGTTTTGGTTTTTGAAGCAGGGTCTTACTATATAGCCTAGGCTGGTCTCAAACTTCCAATACTCTTGCTTCAACTTCCAAACACTAGCATGACAGGTGTAAGTTACAACACCTGGCTTTTCTTTCCAATCTTCTTTACACACAGATCATCAAGCTAACCCCTGAAAATACTTGAATTTATTTATCTGTTCTTCTCACTTTTTATACACAGTAAAATTCACTCTTTGGAGGTAGGCACGGTGAGTCCTAGGTATTTGGAGGCTAATGCAGGAGGACTGCTTAAGCCTAGAAGTTTGAGAACAACCTTGGGAACAAAGCAAGACCCCACTGCAAAAAGAAACAACAAAATTTAAGAATTAACTTTTAGAATACTAAAGACAGATGCATAATAACCTCCAATCCATAATAACCTCCAATCAAAATACAGAATATATTATTTCCAGAACCGTACATATAATTAAACCATAAAACAGTACATATAATTAAAACATAAAATAAACATGTAAATACTGGCTCAAACTTTGCTTTAAAAGTCATCATCAAACCTCTGGAAAGACTTTAGAACTAAAATTGAAAAGGTAGATCCATAACGATCCCTGATAAGACAAAGTGCATCACTGGACAAAAACACATTGCTTAGAACTCTGGATGTCAAGATCACCAGCATGTGGCCAATCAGGACTTATATGGACCTCCTAAGACTTTTAACTCTCCACTCTGAGGGACATTTCCACCTCCAACCTAGGAGTATGACCTGCAAACAAAGCAATCCTTTCAGCTTCATTTAACACCTACGCTGCAGTACCCACTCAAATATTCAAACAATATATTGAGAATATTTAAAGTGAAAAATATCATGATGCATCATAGATTAAGTACACAACTGTAGGAGAACCTGACAAAATTTTTAAAGCTAAAAAAAAGCAGCCTATCTTGGAAGGAATTAATAAAAAACTGTAGTGCTGAGTTTGTAGCTCCGTAGTAGAGAATGCTTGCCTGTGACATGAGCAAGACCCTAAGTCTATTCCCCAACACAGCAAGAAAACATACAAGTAATAATAGTACATAAATTAAAAACAAAATTCTGGGGGGGAAAACTGGGAAGACAGTGAAGAAGAAAACGCCAGAAATCTTCCTCACCTAGACAACAATTGCACTGGAAGAATCTGTCTGATGTAATTACTTCAGTAACTCTTGAGTATTGAAGAACAGAAACTTCCATGGAAGGTGTTAATAATAAACTGAGCTAATTTTGCTCAATTTCAGTTCTTAGCTCAGCAGCAGCTACCATTTCCTAACCTCTAACTAGGGCAAATGGCCAAGTATGTGCTATTGAAGCAACTTATAGGAGCCAGAATGAGTAGTTAACAACCCTGTCTCAAAATATTGGGGATATGTGTTCTGATTGCCAATTGCTGCTTCTAATGAGTGAGAAGAACAAGAAGAGCAACCATTCTTATACTTCTCTCCTTTGGTTACCCATTCCTCTTTTTTCATCTTTATCTTCTAAGACCTAAGATTTAAAAACTAGGGCAATTGAAAGCAATTATAAAGGATAGTTGAGTGGGAGAATTACAATGATACTGTGGTACCTGCTTATCCTCAGTACTATATGGCTTAACTATATTGGCTCCCAAGGGTTTGTGTGTTAGAAACCTAGCGTTGTAATGCTATGAAGTGGATGGAGTTATCCTTACCTGTATTTCCAGCACTTGAGAAGCTGAGGCAGGAGGATGTTCAGTTCAAGGCCAGCTTGGGCTGCATGTAAGACTATGTTTCAAAAGCAAGAGGTGGCCAGCATTGTGGCTCATACTTGTAATCCTAGCTACTTCACACAAAAAAAAAATTCCAAGAAGCCGGGCGACAGTGGCTCACGCCTGTAATCCTAGCTACTCAGGAGGCTAAGATCTGAGGATCACGGTTCAAAGCCAGCCTGAGCAGAAAAGTCTGCAAGTCTCTTATCTCCACTTAACAATTTTTTTTTTGGTCGGTCGTGGAGCTTGAACTCTGGGCCTAGGCGCTGTCCCTGTACTCTTCAGCTCAAGGTGAGCACTCTACCACTTGAGCCACAGCGCCACTTCCTCCACTTAACAATTTAAAAGGTCAAAGTGGAAGTGTGCTCAAATGGTAGAGAGCTGGCCTTGAGCAAAAAAGCTCAGAGACAGCACCTAGGCCCTGAGTTCAAGCCCCAGGACCAGTATAAAATATAAAACAGCATAAACAACATGAAAAAGGACTGGGGAATGTGGCTCAAATAACAGAATGACTGCCTCACAGGCACAAAGCCTAGAGTTCAAAACACAATACCACCAAATAATAACAAGAGAGAGTAGAACTTCCTCTTTAAGGTATGAGTACATGGCTGAGAAGGTGGCTCAGTGGTAGAGTGGCTCGCATGCATGAAGCCCTGGGTTCGATTCCTCAGTACCACATACACAGAAAAAGCCAGAAGTAGCCCTGTGGCTCAAGTGATAGAGTGCTAGCCTTGAGCAAAAGAAGCTCAGGGACAGTGCACAGGCCCTGAGTTCAAGACCCAGGACTGGAGAAAAAAAAAGGTATGAGTACATAGACTGGGAATGTGGCTTACTGGTAGAGTGCTTGCCTACCATGCACAAAGCCCTGATTTCAGTTTCCTTAGTACCACATAAACAGAAAAAAAAAAACATAAGTGGCACTGTGGCTCAGGTGGTAGAGTGCTAGTCTTGAGCAAAACAAGCTCAGGGACAGTGCCCAGGCCCAGAGTTCAAGCCCCAGGACTAGTATGAAAAAGATATGAGTGCATGTTTTAAAGAATTATCCTTAGAGGGGCTGGGAAGGTGGCTCAGTGGTAAAGCGCTTGCCTTGCATGCCTGAGGCCCTGGGTTCGATTCCTCAGCACCACATAAACAAAAAGAAAAAAGTCAGAAGTGGCGCTGTGGCTCAAGTGGTAGAGCGCTAGCCTTGAGCGGAAGAGCTGAGGGACAGCGCCCAGGCCCAGAGTTCAGGCCCCACGACTGGACTCAAAAAAAAAAAAGAATTATCCTTAGAGCACTGGGCTGCTACCCTCACAAAGACATATGTTCATTCCTATCTCTAGATATCTCTAGGTAGTATGAGTTTTGAAGAAAAAATTGAGTAAACAATATTAACATGTCTCATCCTATGAACTTGGCAAACTTCTATACATATCATAAATGTATTTGTTCCAACTAATTCACTGTTTATTGAATAGTAACTTACGGCAAAAATAAGTCAAGTAACACAGAAACAAATACAAAACAATGTAATTGGCTTTGAAGGAATTCAGCATCTAGCAAAAGAATTTTATTGAAGGTGACCCAGAAACTTAGTAATATTTAAATGCTGAATTTGTCCAGTACTTTTTTTTAACCTATAATCTAATCTTTTTTTTTTTTGAAATCTAATCTATTTTAAATGTTGAACTTGTTCAGCATTGTTTTACCTATAAAGTAATCTACTTCCTACCAGCAGATAGGATATTTTTAATCCATATGAAATAGCTAGCTACTAAGGAGGTTGATATCTGAAGATCACCGTTCAAAGCCAGCCTCAGCAGAAAAGTCCATGAGAGTATTCCTCCAATTAACCACCAAAAAGCCAGAAGTAGATCTGTGGCTCAAATGGTAGATCATTAGCACTGAGAAAAAAAGTCATAGATAGAGCCCAGGCCTATATTCAAGCTCCAGGACCAGTGCACACTCAAACACACACACACACACACACACACACACACACACACACACACACACACACACACACACACACACACACACACACACAAAAGCTACTATTAAGAGAATCTACAAAAGAGAGAAAATCAAAGGGGAACCAAGAAAGAGTGAGCAATGGATGACATTTCCACACACACACACACACACACACACACACACACACACACACAAAAGCTACTATTAAGAGAATCTACAAAAGAGAGAAAATCAAAGGGGAACCAAGAAAGAGTGAGCAATGGATGACATTTCCCTGACTAAATAATTATAATATATGCATACATGAATTGCCAAAAATAAAGAAAAAGGAAATATTTGCAAACCATCTATCTGATAAAGGAGAAATATCCAGAAAATATAAGGAACTCCTGTAACAAAATACTTAAAATTTAAAAACACAGGCATGAGTGAAAGGTAGGTACCTCAGTGAAAAGCTCTGAGTCAGATCCCCAGCAGCACAAAAATAAATTTTTTTTTTAATTAAGAACTGGCCAGATGCACATCACCTGTAACCCGAGCACTCCAGAGGATGAGAGAGAAATAAAATAAGATGGGAGGCCATCCTGGGATACGTAGTAAAACCCTGCCTATTACCTGTGTTATATTTGAAGAAAATGTTGAACATGTGGATGCAGTAGGCAATGATAAAACACTACTAAAATATAAATGCCATACAATGAAGAAGTTCAGCATGACAAGAACTCTTCTGACAGAAAAGAAGGAAGAAGAAAATACAGGTGGAGTAGAATGGCTGCAAATGAAAGAAAATGACTTCTCCTATAGACCCAACATGATCTGTAGTTTTGTACATGAAAATGAAGATGAAGTTTTAGTTCCAGCCCCTGAAAAACCTTTGGATTTGGAAGAGCAAGAGATTCAAATAAAAGACAGTTCAAATTTGATCTATGAACAGGAAAAACAAATGCACCTGGAGCCTGGCCCTCTTGCTGGCACTCCTTCTGAAATGGAAGGTTCTATTTTTATGGATACTCAAGATGATGCCTTAGAAATCACTCCTCGATAAAAATATTTCTCATAATAACTTAAAAAAAAAGTTTTTACTTAAAAACCCTGCCTAAAAAATAAAAAGATGAGCTGGGAAGGTAGCTCAGTTGGTAGAGTGCTAGCCTTGAGCTGAAGAACTGAGACAGCACCCAGGGCCAGAGTTCTGGCCCCACAACTGACAAAAAAAAAAAAAAAAATAACCAGGCACTGGTGGTTCACACCTGTAATCCTAGCTACTCAGGAGGCTGAGATCTGAGGATCGCGGTTCAAAGCCAGCCCAGGCAGGAAAGTCCTTGAGGGTCTTATCTCAAATAAACCACCAGAAAACCGGAAGTGGTGCTGTGGCTCAAGTGATAGAGCGCGAGCCTTGAGCTGAAGGACAGTGCCCAGGCCCAGAGTTCAAACCCTACAACTGACAAAAAAAAAAATAAAAATAAATAAATAAAGCAGCCAAGTGCCACTGGTTCACACCTATAATTCTAACTACTACTGAGGAGGCTGAGACCTATAGAAGCAAGACTCAAGCCAGCTGGAGCAGAAAAGTCTACAAGATTCCACCTCTAATTAACTAGCAAAAATGCCAGATTAGGGTGTGGCTCAAGTAGCAGAGTTCCAAACAAGTGAGGCCCGGCAAGTAAAATAAAAACAAAAACAAAAAAGAGCCCCAATCCATGAGGATGGTGATCATTTAAAAAAAAAAATGGCTATGTGAAAAAACTAGAACCATTGGTAAATGCATTGCTGGTGGGAACACAAAATAGTGCACCTGTAACAGAAAATACAAGTGCAAGTAGCAACTCCCACCTATAATCTAGCTACCTAGGAGGCTAAGATCCAGAGAATCATAACCAGCCCAAGTAGAAAAGCCCAGCCCAGGCAGAAAAGTCAAGGCTACTTCCAATTAACAAGCAAAATGCCACACTGGATGTATGGTTCAGATAGTAAAATAACAAAGCCAAGTGAGAATATGAATATGAGGCCCTGAATACAAGCCTCTGGGGGGAAAGGGGAAGAAAGAGAGGGGAAGAGGGAGAAGATGACAACAACAACGCCCAATACCACCACCATGGTGGTTCCTGAAAGTACTAAAAGAAATACTGTGTGATCCAGCAATTCCACTGGGTCTATTTACCAAAAGAAAAATGAAAGCAGGAACTCAACAGCTATCTGTATACCCATGTTATTTAAACACCCAAGAGATATAACTCAGGTATCCATCAACAGATGAATAAATGTCACATTTTTCAATCTTAGAAAGAAAATTCTGATACATGCTACAACATGGATAAAATTTGAAAGATAATGTTGAGCCAGTCAGCAAAAGACATGCCATATGTTTGTCTTTTGAGGTTAAAAAAAAATCAAATTCAAAGAGACAAAAACAGAATAGTAGTTGCAAAGACAAGGAAGAAAGGAAATGAGAAGTTATTGTTTAAAGAGAAAGAATTCAGTTTGGATAAATGAGAAAAAAAGTTCTGAAGATAGAGGATAATGATTGTATAATAATGTGAGTTTATTTAATGCTATTGAATATATACTTTTAAAAGTTTGAAATGGAAAATCTGTTGTGTATTTTACCACAAAAAAGGAGGAATAAAGGGCTGGGAAGGTGGCTCAGTGGTATAGTGCTTGCTTTGCATGCATGAGGCCCACAGTTCAACTCCTCAGCACCACATAAGCAGAAAAAGCCAGAAGTGGTGCTGTGGTTCAAGTGGTAGAGCGCTAGGTTTGAGGCTGAAGAGCTGAGGGACAGCGCCCAGGCCCAGAGTTCAGGCCCCACGACTGGCAAAAAAAAAAAAAAAAAAGGAGGGATAGCCAAGTGTGGAAGTGTGGAATACCAGTAATAACCAGCACTCAGGAAGTTGAGGGAAGAGGATCACAAAGTGAGTCCTGTACCAGCTACATAGTAAGATTCTGCCTTAAAAAAAAAAGCAGATAGTGAGTGTATCATGTATCAAATGCAACTACAAACTTTAGAATTTCAGATAGATTAAAGATCTTTTCAGCAGTGAGGATCAAAGTGCAAGCTAATCAGGCAAACACAAACAATTGTAATGTTCCAGATCCTGAGATTAAAAACTAAAAGTAGACTAGGCACTGTGCTATACACCTGTAGTATCACACACCTGTGTCACTTCAAGAGGGTGAGATCTGAGGATAATGGTTCCAAGCCAGACCAGACAAAAAGTTAAAGTTAGGCTCAAGTGGTAGTATACCAGCAAAGCCCCAGGACCAGCAAAAAAACAGATAAAAGCCTAAAGGCTGAAGGACATGATTCAATTGGTAGAGCCTCTGCCTAGCAAGAAACAGGCCCTGAATTCAGGTATGACAACAAAAAAATATTAAGACTAGACCCCACTTCCAAAAAGACAGAATTGGAACTCATCTACAAAAATATTTGCCAAACGTTATGAAAAATGCAAAAAGTATACAAGGTACAAAAGGTATACAAGGTATAAAAGCTATACAAGAGGGACTGGCAATGTGGCTTAGTGGTAGAGTGCTTGCCTAGCATGCACAAAGCCCTGAATTCAATTTCTCAGTACTACATAAACAGAAAAAGCTAGAAATGGCACTGTAGAGTGCTAGGCTTGATCAAAAGAAATACAGGGACAGTGCCCAAGCCCTGAGTTCAAGCTCCAGGACGAGCAAAAAAGAAAAAGAAAAAAAAATACTCAAAACACATTGAGATTAAGAGAAAACTCAGAGGCAGTAGCATGCAGATTTTAAAGAATGAAGGCTGTGCATGATGGCTCACGCCTATAATCCTGGATACTTGGGAGATGTAAATCAGAAGGATTGAACAAAGCAAACCTAGGCAGAGTTAAACAAGATCCCCTCTCAACAAACCAGGCTGTGATAGCACATATCTGTGGTACCAGTTAATGAGAGGTATAGGAAAGAAGATTGTGGTCTAAGGCTCACCAAGGCAAAAACTTAAGCCCTTACCTGAAAAATAAAAAGAGAAAAACAGCGGAGTAGTTACAGAGGCATGTGGCCCTAAGACCAAACCCAAAGCACTACTAAAAAAAAAAAAGGGGGGGGGGGGGAGGGGGAGAAAGAAAAAAAAAAATTAAGGAGGAAAGGAAGGAGAAGGAAGGTAGAAAGAAAAAAAGCAAGGATAAGGGAAGGGGAGGGGAGAGGAGGGGAAGGGAAGGGAGGGGACGGGAGGGGAGGGGACTGGAGAGGAGGAAGGAAAAGGAAAGGAATAACTCGACTAAAATGTGACTGAGAAACAGTTTTTCCCTTATCAAAGTATTTGAAGGGCCAGGCGCCAGTGGCTCACACTTGTAATCCTAGCTACTCAGGAGGCTGAGATCTGAGGATCATGTTTCAAAGCCAGCAAGGGCAAGAAAGTCTGTGAGACTCTTTATCTCCAATAAACCATTCAGAAAACCAGAAATGGAGCTGTGGCTCAAATGGTATAGCACTCACCTTCAGCTGAAGAGCTGAAGGATAGCACCCAGGCCCAGAGAGCCCACGACTGACCAAAAAAAAAAAAAAAAAGGCCGGGCGCTGGTGGCTCACGCCTGTAATCCTAGCTACTCAGGAGGCTGAGATCTGAGGATCGCGGTTCAAAGCCAGCCCGGGCAGGAGAGACCGTGAGACTCTTATCTCCAATAAACCACCAGAAAACCGGAAGTGGCGCTGTAGCTCAAGTGGTAGAGCGCTCGCCTTGAGCTGAAGAGCTGAGGGACAGCGCCCAGGCCCAGAGTTCAAGCCCCATGACCGACAAAAAAAAAAAAAAAAAGAAAGAAAGAAAGAAAGAAAGAAAATGCTACAATGCTCAATAGGAAATGTACTCATTACCTTGAAATTATAAACCCTCTATACAGCATCTTCACAATAAAAAAATATTTTAAAAAAATGAAAATGTTAAGTGTTGAGGTAGGAGGAAGAAAGCCAAGACATAGCCTGTCTCATTTCTCCAAAATTCAATTCTCTTCATCCTTATCACTTTTACCTCTAAGATCGTCCTTGCTCAAACGATAATTTGTCCATGCACACAAATACAAGACTTCTCTAAGCATCAGACTTTTTAAAAAGTTTATCAGAGGGCTGGGAAGGTGGCTCAGTGGTAAAGCGCTTGCCTTGCATGCCTGAGGCCCTGGGTTCGATTCCTCAGCACCACATAAGCAAAAAGAAAAAAGCCAGAAGTGGCGCTGTGGCTCAAGTGGTAGAGCGCTAGCCTTGAGCTGAAGAGCGGAGGGGCAGCGCCCAGGCCCAGAGTTCAGGCCCCACGACCGGACCAAAAAAAAAAAAAGTTTATCGGAGCCAAATGCCTGGTAGCTCACACCTGTAATCCTAGCTACTCAGGAGGCTGAGGACAGTTTGAATCCAGCCCAGGAAGCAAGTTCGTGAGACTCTTCTCCAAAAAACTACTATTCTCAGAAAAAAACCAGAAGTGGCGCTGTGGTAGAGAGCTAGTCCTGAGCACAAAAAGGCTCAGGACCACCAAAAACAAACAAACAAAGAAAAGAGAAAAAAGAAAAAGCTTATCAGAGCATCAACTCAAGAGACTTCTTACAGCTTTAAAATAAAATCCCCACAACTACCTGTGACATGTTATCTGGCATCCCTGGATCCCACGTCAGATATCTCCTCCCCAATGGCAATCAAGCTAAACAGGTCCTCTAAAACTGTGGAGTCTTTCCAAATGTTTCAGACCCTTAATTCACTTACAGAGGTTCCTATATTCCATCTGTCTACATCTTTGTCAGCACATATACATCACTACTACCAACAGGCAGAGCTATCGGTCAAGTCCCACACTGTTATTTTCTCAAATTGCATGATTCTACAAGTAATTTGGGATCTCCATTTCATTTAGAGCCCCCTGGGGAGGGGGGGGGTCCTCATTTTGGACATAGTAAGTTTGAGAAGCCCATGGGACAGCTAAGGAACTTTCCAGGACACAGGTGATCATGTGGGTCAGGAACACAGGAAGATGTTAGCACTTAGGTCTGGTAATAAAGGCCTAGAACCATGATTCTCAACTAAAAGGAAGAGAGCCTTCTCATCTCTAAGTCAAGTATACATAATGAGATGTTATTCATGGGAGCAAAGGTAATAAATATTATATGAATGGTATGGAAACCAAGATATTTAGGTTAAGACCCTATGTACAAGACAGAGGGACTAATAGGAAAATCAAAAGGAAAACCAGAAATGATACTAAAACCTCACACATATGCTTTCCACAACTTCCTTCTTTCATATGACAAACTTCAACTCATGTTTCATCCATTTCAAAATGCCACCAGATCCTAGAACCCTTTCCAGATTTATACATATGAACTTTATCCCCCTCCACACTACCACATTTCTTCTGTTGTACAATTTAAGATGTGACCCAGCCAGTTGTAGTGGCAGATGCTTGAGCACTCAAGAAGCTGAGATAGGAGGATCAATATTTAAGTTCAGCCTGTACTACAAAAGAAGTTGTCTTTAAAAAAGTCACCGTTTCACCGTTTGTGTTAGCTCAGTATATAGTTACGGTGATAAGGCATTATAGCATTATGCCCTGTATTACAGCTGGGCATGTCTCCTCCAGTATTCTGTGAGGTTTAACAAGCCAAGATCATATTCTAATTCCTATGAATTCTCAAAGAAAGAAGATAAAAACATTTTCTAACTTAAAAGCTGAGGCAAATAGTTGGAGAGGTTCTCTCACTAATTCCTTAAGTAGAACAAAGTATTTACAAATTGCATTTCTTTTTTTTTTTTTGGGTCCGGTTGTGGGGCCTGAACTCTGGGCCTGGGCGCTGTCCCTCAGCTCTTCCGCTCAAGGCTAGTGCTCTACCACTTGAGCCACAGCACCACTTCCAGCTTTTTTCTTTTTGCTTATGTGGTGGTGAGGAATCGAACCCAGGGCCTCAGGCATGCAAGGCAAGCGCTCTATCACTGAGCCACCTTCCCAGCCCACAAATTGCATTTCTTAAAGTAGCATCTACCCTGCAGTCTTTAAAATTCACTGCTAAACACAAACTATTCTCATCAAAACTCCTGTCACAGTACAATAATTTCCATATATATATATAGAGAGAGAGAGCACTATTTTAGTGGGAGACCTAATATATGATACTCGGGCTTAAACCAAGAGCCAATCGCCAGACTCAACTGCCAAGCAAAGTTAGACAGTCAGTCAACATTTTTTCCAAGTTCTTCACTTACAGAGACTCCTTTAAAAGTCAACAACAGGGGCTGGGGGGCGTGGCTAAAATGGTTGAGCGCCGGCGTAACTAGTGGGAGGGCTGAGTTCAAGCCCCAGGACAGCTACAGTAAAAGTAAACAGGAGAGGTTAAATAATGGTGCACACCTGTAATCCCAGCACTCGGGAGGCTGTGGTAGGAATATCCAGAGTCCCATGCCGCAAGGACTACACAGCGAGACTCTCTCCAAAAACAAAAGAAAAACACCCATAATCAACAAGAGTTTACTGTCACTCTCGAAAACTAGGGCTAAGAGTGACGTGAGTACAATCAGAGACGGCTGAGTAATTTCAAAGTAAAGGTCAAGCTGGTAGACGTCAAAAGTCCCCACGGGCGTGGCGCACCGCACCCGGGAAAAGCAAGCGTCGAGGCTCTCGCCTCCTAGGATGCGGGAACCGCAACCCAGCCTACGTCCGGCCCCGCACACCGGGAAGGCTCGGTGGCGGGGCGGGCCTGGGGGGGAGGGGAGCAGCAGGCGCTAAACCAGACAATCGCCGCCCCGGAAAACTCCACAGTGCGGGCACGCCCGCCTGGGGACCTGGCGCTGGCACGGACGTGTCACCGGCCGGGAACGGGGCCGGAAGCGCGGCGCGGAGCCAGCGCGCGCTCGGGCCCCAAGAACAAAGTTTAGAAAGCGGGAGAAAGTTTTCTGAGAGGCGGCGCAGCGGCTGCGCCGGGCCCGCGACTTCTCTCCTCCAGTCGCCGCGGCCCCTCAACTTGTCCGGCGCCGGGAAAAGCGGGCCCCACCCACCCGCCCGCTCGCCCAGGCCCAGGCCCAGGCCCAAGCCCGGCCCAGAGGGGGAGGCCGCCACCGGCTGGTCGCTGGACAGACCGGCCCAGCCAGCCCCTCGGCGGCCCGAGTTGAGGCGGCCGGTCTGGGGAGCCCCTCGCCCGAGTGGGGAACCCGCGCCAAGAGGGGGGAAGGGGGGCGAAGAGTTACCTGCGGCGAGCGGGGCGAGCGCAGAAAGAGTCCAGAGGCGCGAAGCCGACGGCCGCCGCTTTGTCTCCCTCCCGTCCGGCTCCAAGGAGGAAATGGGCCGCCAGGCGCCCCCGCCCCTGGCCCGCCCCCCGCCCGCGGCCCGCGCCCCGCCCGCCCTTCCCGGCACCTCCCTCCGCGCGCTCTTCCCGACGCCTCCCGACGCCGCCTCCCCCGCTTGCCCTGACCTTTCGCGACCCGCGCGCTCGGGCCGCGCCCCACCGCCGAGGACCTGGCCAAGCCCGGCCAGACCCCCAAGGGACCTATGCCTTCCTACCCCTGACCCCAGAATTACTCCATCCCAGGTTCAAAGTGAGCACTCAGACCCGGAGTGACCACCCGAAACGGGGGAGGAGCGCTGACTCCTGGAACAGCCGGGAGTCCGGGCTTGGGGAGGGCAGGTGAGTCAGGGCTCGGAGCGCAGGTGAGTCTCGGGGCGCGGCCTCGCCTAGCCCCGCCCCTCCAGGGAAGCCTTGGGACGGCTGTGACTGATAGGGTCCTAGAAGTGTCATTCAGTCCCTCAATCCGAGGATCCCGGAGTAATGCTCCGGGCCCAGCCCCTGGCGTCGCGGAAGGAACGGAGGGTAAATAAAACTTTCAAAGTTGAGGGCGGAGTGAAACTAGATTCCGATTCTCAAGACCTCTGGTCTAAAGTTAGGGAGAATCGTCCCAAAAAAACACTTAACCGGGCCCCTTAATCAACAGGCAGAGAACCCAACGCCCTCCTGTTCCTGGAATTGGAAGCGGTGCTCAAAGGTGAAAAAGCTAAGCAAAATCTCAAGGTCCTAAATTCAGTGCCCAGTACCGAGGCACACACTCACACAAAATTGCCAGTTAGGTAATTTTATTTCTTATCTTCTTGGCGAATATTCCAAAACAATAAAGCTAGGGGCTGGGAAGGTGGCTCAGTGGAAGAGCGCTTGCCTTGCATGCATGAGGCCCTGGGTTTGATTCCTCAGCACCACATAAGCAAAAAGAAAAAAGCTGGAAGTGGCGCTGGGGCTCAAGTGGTAGAGTGCTAGCCTTGAGCTGAAGAGCTGGGGGACAGCGCCCAGGCCCAGAGTTCAGGCCCCATGACCGGACCCAAAAAAAAAAAACAAAAAACCACAAAGCAAAAACAAATAAAATTGAAAGTATGATATATGCAGGATTCAAGGAGTGTAACAGCTAACAGACTAAAGAAAAACAATACCAGAACTCTGAAATGTGTTTGGTACATATCCAATGTGTGAAAAATTAAATCTTATAACTTGGGATATGATTAGGGTTGGAAAAGATGGAGAATGATAAAAGAGGTAACACTGATTATTTATAAACTGATTATTAAACCTGTTTTTGTGCAACTACTTAATTTTTAAAAAGAAAAATAATTTCAGCAAGTTTCCTTTTTCTGTTTTCATGGTTGCAAACAATCTATTTCAATCATGTTCATCCTCTTTCAACATGTATTGTTCTCTGTTATTCTTTTCCCTTCCCCCTTTCCTGTCTCCTCTTACATTGTCCCTTACATTCATGTTGTGTTTATCTCTTTATCTAGTTATGTAAATGATATATGTGTGTGAAATCTCTCTGTATAACTAATGTAAACAAATAAAAAGCAAAATTAAAATTAAGTGTTTCTATTTAAGCAAAAAAAGAGAAAATTTATAAACTCACATTCAGCCTACCTAATATTAGCTGGTGGTGACTACACCTATAATCCCAGCACTCCAGACACAAGCAAGAGGATTACCAATTCAAGCCGTCTGGGCTTCATAGTAAGATTCTGTCTCAAAGAAAAAGACAACACTATTAATCCTGGGCTAAGGGTTGATTGGTGTAAGTATTGGCCTGCAAATCCAAATTAGAGCAAGATAACAATAACAATTTGTGCTGAACGTTGAGTAGGTGCTTGGGAGACCTTCCTCAACATATTTGCACTCTACTACTCAAATCTCACTCTCTCCCAAAGGAAGGCAACATCTAACACAATGCCCACCCTAGAGAGCACCCAGTGAGCCTCTGTGGGTGAATGTGCACACTGTAATTCAAAAAACCATGGGTTTCTGCTAGTTAAGGGTGCTAACAAAAGGAAATCAAAGCCGGGTGCCGGTGGCTCCTGCCTGTAATCCTAGCTACTCAGGAGACTGAGATCTGAGGCTCTCAGTTCAAAGCCAGCCCAGGCAGGAAACTCCGTCAGACTCTTACCTCCAATAAACCACTAGAAAACCGGAAGTGGCGCTGTGGCTCAAGCGGTAGAGTGCTTGCCTTGAGCTGAAGAGCGAAGGGACAGAGCCCAGGTCCAGAGTTCAAGCCCCATGACCCACAAAAAAAAAAAGAAATCAAAACAGTGAGACCAAAGGAGGATATTCTTAGGAACACAAAGATGCTGGTGGCTCCCACCTGGAATCCTACCTACTCAGGAGACTGAGATCTGAGGATCATGGTTCAAAGCCAGCCCAGGCTGCATCTAGTCATATAAAATAATATTTATCAAAATGAACTCCAGGAAATGGAAACAAGGAAAATTTTTAAAAATAGGCAATCAGACCTTGAAGTCAGGAGAGAACACCTTTTAAAAGAAAGCTCTCACCAGTAATCCTAGCTACTCAGGAGGCTGAGATCTGAGGTCCATGAGACTCTTATCTCCAATTAACCACCAGAAAACCAGAAGTGGTGCTGTGGCTCAAGTGGGAGCGCTAGCCTTGAGCTGAAGAGCTGAAGGACAGCACTCAGGCCCTGAGTTCAAGCCCCACAACCACCACCAACAACAAAAACATATGCATGTATATATATACATATATGCATATATATATGTTATATATAATACATACACACACACACAGGGTTAGGGATATGGTTCAATCATACAGAGCTTGCTGAATATGTAAGGCCTGATTTAATCCCTAGCTCTCTGTTTGTGGCTTCAAGGTCTTTACTCATATAGTCTCTTTCGCCCAGAGTAGTTACATCTTGCCCACCATCACTACTTGCTCCATACATTTTTTTATTACTCATTACTTCACTGAAGACCAGCAATTTAATTTTCCATAAAGATAAAAATGCAGAGTTTTCAAAGGGCAAACACAAACAGCAGTATTATTCACTAAACACTATATGAGACGGAAATGAACTATACAACTTACATATGGGGACAGGAGGGAAGAGGTGACGTGGTTCAAAAAGAAATGTACTCATTAGCTAACTTACGTAACTGTAACCCCTCTGTACATTACCTCTACACTAACAATAAAGTATTTTTAATGCAAGATTTTCAAAGAAGAAAGGCCAGGTGATAGAAAGAGACTTGTATTATGCTGTTTAAACTGAGGGGAATCTGTTCCCCACTTCTGAGAAACTAACAAGTTTACAAGAGAAAAAGTGAAGCATTATATCCAAGTCAGTTACTGTGCCTAAGGAAGTGGTTAAAACCTGGCAAAAACGGACTTATATCTATCCTACACTTAAAATGTAATATGATGAAAGGTAATAAAAACAGGTGGCTATCTCATGCCTACAATCTTACCTAGGTGACTGAGATCTGAGAACCAAGGTTTAAAACCAGCCCCTGCAGACATATCCAAAAGACTCTTTAATTAACCAGCAAAAAGCCAGAATTGGAGGAATGGCTCAAGTAGTAGAGTACTAGCCATGAGTGAAAACACTGAGAATTCAAGGCTCTGAGTTCAAGCTCCAGCACTGGCATAGGGGGATAAAAGAGAAGAGAGATCAAAAAGCTTAGTCTGTACCTTTTCACTGAATTCTACACCTATCAAGCTCCCTACTTGATATCTTCCCTATTTGGATATCTCATAGGAATCTAGACATATACACGTCTCTATGTTCAAACTGATTTCCTGTCATTCCTTGAATGACAACTCCAATTTTCAAAACCTTGGAGTCATCCTTGAGTGTTTTCTTTTCCTTTTACATCTGATTCCTTCCAAATATTTTCAGAATCCACCAATCTTTTGCCATCTCTGCTGTTACCACCTTAAAATAAGCAGTCATCATCTCTTAGCCTGGACTCCCTACTTCTTCCCTTGCCTCATTCAGTCTGGTCTCAGTTCAACAGCCTGAGTAAGCCTATTAAAATGTCCAAACATGTCTCTCCTACTCAACCTAAAACCCTCATGGTTCTCATCTCCATCAGAGTTAAAAGCTAAGGTCCTTATAAGGGCCTCTAGAGCTCATACCCCTGTCCCCACACACTTAGATGACACAGTGACCTCTTTACTATTCCAGAACTACATCAGACAGGATTTTGCCTTAGGGCCTTTCCTTTCTGCCTGACTCACTCCCTTCCTTCTGCTAGGTCTTTACTCAGCTGTTACTTTCTCAGTGATGCTTCTTAGACACTCTAAAATTACAACTCCTGTCATATATAAAGTCCATTTTTCAAACATTTTAATCATTCATGTTATATATAAAGACTTTTTTTTGTCGGTCCTGGTGCTTGAACTCTGGGCCTGGGTGCTGTCTCTCAGCTCTTCAGCTCAAGGCTAGTGCTCTACTACAGCACCACTTCTGGTTTTCTAGTGATTTATTAGAGATAAGAGTCTCACGGACTTTCCTGCCTGGGCTGGCTTTGAACTGTGATCCTCAGATCTCAGTATCCTGAGTAGGTAGGATTACAGGCGTGAGCCACCGGTGCCCCCCTAAGACATATTTTTTTTTTTCATATTCAGTTCATTGCTTTTTCTTTTCTCCTTCCACTAGAAGTCAAGCCATAAGAAGGCTATATATATATATATTTTTTTTTTTTTTTTTTTTTTTTTTCAGTAGTGGTGGCTGAACTCTGGGCCTGGGCACTGTCCCCTCAGCTCTCCAGCTCAAGGCTAGAGCCCTATCACTTGAGCCACAGCACCACTTCTGGCTTTTTTTTTTCTGCTTATGTGGTGCTGAGGAATCGAACCCAGGGCCTCATGCATACGAGACAAGCATTCTACCACTGAGTCAACCTCCCAGCCCAAGCTATATTTTTTAATCTATTTTTTTCATGTTACATATCTCTGGAACATACACTACATTCACTACATATTGGCTAAATGAAAAAGAGTGAATGAAAAAAATTGAAAACAAAAGATTAATG